ACATGATAAATTCTCTTCTTTCTACTTGGCACAGATAGGAAAATGAAATTTTTTAAATGAAAAGGTAAACAGTGTGCACATAAAAAAATTTATGACACATATGAAGAACCGTAAAATTACATTACTTTATTCTACAGCTGCCAAAATGTTCTCCCCTTCAGAATGATCTGCTAATGCAGTTCTTTTGAGAAGAAAACGAATGCCTTTATTACCACTCCCCCCCCCCAATTTCTGATCTATACAAAATTTGCTGTTTCTTTGAAGAAGGAGACAAACTTCTGTCCCTCTTCATTATCAACTTTGGAGGTCTAAAAGGTTAGAAAATGCTACCATTCAACTAATTTTGGGAAATTCCATTCCCTCGCCTATCCCATGTTTTGCTGTGCAAAGAAAACAATTATAAGAAAGAGATAATTTGAGTTCATAGAAAAAGACAATTTGTAAATAGAAGTGGAAATTAATGCAACTGCGGAATATTTTTGGTAACCCACATGATAGTTCATAAAAACACGGTTTTCACTGTAAAATGCTTCATATAATATAATAAATATATGCAAAAACACTGCCCTTATTGCTGCTTGTTTCTGTTTAATGAACTAATGGCACTAATGAACTTATAATCAGAGATGTTGACAGCAAGTGTAAAGTGTAGACATGCTATCACAATAATTCTATTTGCCATCTCTGGTATGCATACCATAAGTTAACCACTACAGCAAGGATTGGCAACATTTTAATATAGTTATGTTAAGGTAATGAAATGCTGCAAACTCACTCGGTATGTCAAGTTAAGCTTACCTTATTATTCATACACAGCATAATCTGAGATGCATTAACTTGATCTTATATTAACATGCTTCCTATAAATTAAATAACTATTCTGCTCATCATTATTTATTTAATATTTTATCTTAAATAAGGACAAATACAAAAACTGCTTTGTAAAATTTAAATTCTGAATGGACTGCTTTGGATTTTTATTATAAAGTTCACTCTCTATTATTAAACATTAGATTATATGTACATATGTATGTATGCTACGTCTTTAGTGGGTTATTATTTCACAAGATGCTGTATTTAATTACAGGCACTTTATTATATACAAAACACATCATCACTCGCATACACACGTACAACTACGACATTCCAGTCTCAGTTCTGTTTACAATAACTTCGCTCGCTTGCGATGCTTGGGCACTGGGCCAGCTTTAAGTTAGACTACGATTAAGTTCTCGATACACCACATCCCTCCCCCTTTATCACAAGTTCAGTTTGTTTGGGGGTCATATCGAATTCTGGTGGACCAATGCAAAGGTTGTGGCACAGCTGGTTTCTTTGGCAACCTGGTTGTATAAGCAGCAGGTACGGTGGATGGAACATCCAGTAACACCTTAGGCTCAAAAGACGACACAGACTCATCTACCTGGTGGCTATTATCTTTAGATGGTTCTGGAAGTCCACAGGCTCTTTGGAAATCACGAAAGCTGGAGGTGGACGTATGCAGCCATCATCAATTATGGTTCCTCCATCACACATCTGATCGACATGTCACTGTCACAGCTGACCATTTACATTTATAGTGTGATGAAGCTGCCCATCCTCGGATTGGATGGTTCCAAATCTCCATCATCTGTCATCTTGGTGATAATTTCTTACTGCCACTTTATCACCAACTCTAAATCCTTGGTCTGCAAACTTGTAGGTTCCTTTTCGAACTATGTCTTCTAACCTCCTTTTGAAATCTGGTCTCAATAAATCTATTCTTGTTTGAATTCCCTCTTCAGCATTAGCATTGCCAGGCTGTGTAGAGTAATTAAATTCACAACTTTTCTATATTGCGTTAAAAATGTACTAAGTTTTTGTCTCAAAGTTCCTGGATAATTTTACATGGTTCTTAAGGATTGTTTTGCTGTAAACAGATACTGTTCAGCCTGCCCATTGCTAGATGGTTTAAATGGAACTGTGGTTTTGTGTTTGATTCAGTTACTCTGTAGAAATACCTTAAACTCATGTGAAGTGAATTGTGGCCAGTTATCACTCACTAACAATATTGTAATATATATGTATGTAAGATATAACAAAATATGAAAGCTGTTTTAAAAAATAATTGGCGACCTTAAAATTAGCATTCCACATTTGGTGATCTCCCCCTAGGTTCATCTTTTCTCACAGGTTCCAGATTTTTCTATGTTTTGTAACGTTTTAATACAGATACCTCTTGTCCAATCAAATTGTAAACCAAAACTCTGAACTGAAACTTTTCTGATTCACACCCTCCTTCCTCTGAAGTGCTATGACACTTTCCCCTTTTTCGCGTAGGCTTTCCTGCTGGCACGACGCTTTTCATTAATGTTGCTGCCGCTTACTTGCTTAAGATGAAGTCATGCTTCAAAATGAAATTTGTATTCAAATATAATTAGGAAACATTGTGTCTGCAAAAGGATGGTTTGATATATTGATATATGTAAAAAAATAGAGATTGTGATTCTTCAAGATTCGTCGTGCTAAATGTGTCATTATGCTTTTCCACTCAACCACCTTCAAGCCACTAGGTCTTCTCAGCCATCTATGCAATATCGTAAGCTGTTAAAAGTTCACATTGCCATCTACGCATTTTAAAATTATTACATGCATAACAAACTTCGAATCATGCAAAAAAAGTCCCACAAACATTATATTGTTTTGAAAGTCAAGCTTGACTTCATTGGATAGGAATCTAGCCATTTTGAGTGAGCATCGACGATTATCAAAAACATATGCTCAAAAAAAAGGTCATGCATAATCAATGCGAATACGTTCGATTGGAGCGGTCAGGTACTCCCAATGATGAAGTTTTACCTTTCAAGGATCTATTTTATGTTTTGCCCATTGAAAACAGTTTTGGAAGTATTTTCAATATCTTTATCTATACCGTTCCAAAACACGCAAGATCTAGCAATTGCTTTCATCTTTACAGTCCCTAAGTGTCCGTGGTGCAACTCTTTCAAAACATTCTCATAGCGTTGTTTTGGAATACAAATGCATTGGCCATACATAATACAGCCATCTTGGAGACTATACTCCTTCTCCCTTCCTTTCAATTGACCGTTGCTTTGAAGTATTTGTAGCATAGGACTGAGTTCTGTATCAATTTCAGTTTCTTTAGCTAAATCTCTGGCAGTGATTGGAAGAGTTTCAATCTGCTTAATTGAAAAATAGCTACAGCATCTGAATACACAGTTGCTCTGAGTTCGCCAGTAGACATGATAGAAAGTCAGCATTACCATGCTTGTTTGTTTTATGGTAAATAATGTCGAACTGAAATGACTGTAAAGCCAAGACGTAATGTAGGAGTCTTGTTGCTGCTAAAACTGGCAAACCTTTGAGCTGAAAATTGCAACAAGAGGTTTATGAACTGTAATTAACATAAATTTCCTGCCTTTTAAGTACAGAAAACACTTTTTAGTTCCCCATATAGTTGAAATGGTTTCTTTATCAGTTTGAGAATACTTTTTCTCTATTTCAGTCAGTGTTCTAGAAGCATATGGAATTGGCCTTTCTGTTCCATCAGGAAGTTTGTGAGAAAATACTGCACCTAATTCCACTGGTGATGCATCGGTTGCCAATGTTAGAAAAGCCTCCTGACAGTCTCTCATCTAAGCCCATTTTGAGATTTTCTTACTAAACTCAAGGACCAGTTAATTGGTATAATTCAGGCAAGGAGCTTCAGTATTTGTAACAATTCTGTTGCATCTTAAGTCTAGGATCATTGGACTAAAATGATTGACTAAATTAGTATAATTAATAAAGTAATGCTTTTGGCTTATTACCAAAATCATTAAATATTTTTATGATATTATACTAAGTTGGACCCAATACTACTTGGACTGAATTCCTTAAAACAATTATACAGTTTTTGTTTCTCACAATACTTATTTTAAATACCCAATATTCTTAAAATCCCACAGTTGGAAGAAAATTAATCATTTAATTGGTATGATCAGCAAGATACATTTTCTATACTTTAGCAAACAAAGAAAGTAAATGCATCAATTGAAGAGCTAAATAAACTGAAAATAAAATATATTAGTAAATTTCTAATATGAGTAATCAATTATGAATATAAATATAATCATTATCAAAGATGAATATAATCAGAGTTTATATGAATCATTAATAAATAAATGAAACACTAGTTTTTGGTTCTGCCTAGTTAATTGATCAATATCAAGAATGAAAATTTTCACTTTCAGCCTCATACAGATACAACTTTTCTGAAAACCAAACCAGCTTTCACAAGTGAAAAAAATTCTTCACATACTACAGTTGACCCAAAAACTAAAATCAAAACAAATTTAATTTTCTTCACACAAGAAATTACAGCTGTTTGCTCTGAAATAGATACATCTTTTTTTATTGAAAATTTGCAAATTTTATGAACTAAAATTATCACAAACAACTTTTATTTTGGATGAATACATGAGTAAAAACAGGAATACCTTCAAAAGAACTATGTGTCTTTTTAAATAAGAATTCAAATTTTATGAGATGACAATCACTGTACTTCAAGTTCACTCACTGTACCAATGAAAATCATCCCATGTGCTATGCATGCCAAAGCTTGCTGATGCTTTCATTACACCATTTCACCTATACATGGGATTTAAAAGTTTTACTTTTTCAGCTAACTAACAATAAATTGACAGATTTAAAAAATATTTTTCATTCACAAATCTGAATAAATTAAGAAATTCTTACCACATTTTTTTTTGAGGGGGGGTGAAGATAAACTTTTAAGTTAAAAACTTTTGAAACTATCACTACCTATGAATCAAGTGAAAGATCTCATTTTTGACATATCAATTCTTATCTTAAAATTTAGGAAATTATTATGCTTATTGGCTAAACGTTTTTCAACTGGAATGTTTGACTGTCAAAAGGTATATTATTCAGTGGTATACTTACTAAATAAATTACAACTGTCTTATAAATACTGCGCAATGAAGAGCTAAGAAACTATGTCTGTCTTAAATGATTTCATAATATTTTATTAGCAAAACACTATCATTCTTGTCACGGTCAATAACAAGAAATACATGAAAGAGCCATACATAATTAACATACATTCTTTTCAAAAAATTAAATAAAAATACTGAAAAAAAATTAATGTAAATTTCATTCATCACCTTAGGATTTAAAGAAATTAGAATACAAAATCTAAGAGTTCAAACTAAGAATGCTTTATGACCACTTCTATTTTTCCAGGTCCATGCTGCAATAAAGCTTTTCTGCATGCTTCTATAATTAGAGGATCTTTTGAAGTTGTTGACATTTGCAGTGAAGAGATCAACTGGAAATCTGGATGCTTTATGATCTCCTACAAAAATATCAAGTCATATATAATGTCTGTGAATTATACTTCAGCAAATAAAACATTCACTTCCTTTCCCCCAAATCAATTCTCTGAGCCATAATTTTTCATCTTTTTAAAATCTAGAATCACCTGAAAGGGATGTCAGTAACTCTTTAATACATAGACAAATGAGAACTACGTAAATATGAGTTACATGAGAACAAAGGATAGAAGTAATTTCTCATTTAACTTTAAGATCTTTCAAGAAAAATTTAAATTATACTGTACTGCCATTAATAATTTAATGCACCATGAAAGAGAAGAAGGATGAACTATATACAAGGTTTTAGTACACACTTCTGCACATGGAGATTATGTGCTTTAACCCTTAAATTTTATTTTTATTTTTAAAATCAATAATACATTGGAAGATATAAAATAGGAAAACATTTTAATACATCTAAACTAAGTTTATTCCAATTTTTGAAAAAATATTTAACTTTTACAAAAAGAAAGGGGGTAGGCAAATGTGCAATAACAATTTTATGTAATAATACATACATTATAAAACTTGTTCAAACAATTTTAAAACTTTGAATACATCAAAATTACAACAAACACAAAAATCAAAAATTCGTAAACACAAATGATGTCCACACCCTACAAATCAACTCGCAATAATGACCGTTACTACGTTAGTGGTGCCACCAAACTGAAACTTTCAAAACTATATATATAAGCAGTGTGTATCCAATTGGTTAAGCAGCAGTTCTCAACCTTTTGACTAATGCATACAATCTACACAAAAATTGAAAAACTTTAGTACCACCACTACATTTTAAAATGACTATTTCTCAGTTTCTCAATAGAAATATTAAAAAATACATACATTTTACCATTTGCACAGCCTATTGGTTATTTGTATTAAATATGCACACATAAAAAATGTTAGATTAAAAATTGATTACCATTTTAATTATAAAAATTTAAGTTATAATACTTTGATTCTAAAATTTAGTGCAAAATTTCGGCCTGTTTAAGAGAGATGAATTTCTTTATGTCTGATTTTAATATTTCACTTACTCTTAACCATAAATTAGGATCCACTTCTAATTTTGTTCTGTACTTATTCTTCAAATATAACATGGATAAAAATTCTTATTTACACAAATAGGTTGTGCAAAGAATATGTAGCAACTTATCGCCGAGTTTAGAACAACTAAGACGAAGATTCAAAATGAGTTAAATTGCCCTTTTATTTACTCAAATAAATATGGGAAATTCAAAATAAGAAGGGTGTAAAAAATATTAAAACCAACTCAATGTACTACCTAGAGAAAGTTTTAAGTCCAATATTTATAGATGTTTCATTTCTTTAGCTCTAAGAAACCTGCTGCAAATAAGAAGGGTGTAAAAAATATTAAAACCAACTCAATGTACTACCCAGAGAAAGTTTTAAGTCCAATATTTATAGATGTTCCATTTCTTTAGCCCTAAGAAACCTTCTGCTCTTTTTAAGCACACTAACCCACTCAAAGAAAATTTCGATATGGGGTTTACGATTGTTGCAGCATCCTCTTACTATGGAAAATTAAAAATAAGAAGAATGTTAACAAAATATTAAAATCAACTCAATATATTATTAAGAGAAAGTTTTGCATATGAAATTTACAGAAGACATTCCATTTCTTTATCCCAATGACTTCAGAGAATGAAACTTCATCAACACAAAGCAACAAGTCATACTTTGAAAAGTCAAGTCATGCTTCACTGCACAACAAAATACAAGTCATACTTACTGTACTCCTTGAAAAAATGAAGATTGATAGAGAGGTATTGGATGTGTAACTTTTCAACATATTTCTGCAATGTCCCTGATGTTTCGCATATAGTATATTGTGTCTCTGGTCTCTTCAAAAGAGCTCTTTCTAAATGCAAACCCACCACAATTAATGCACTCTGGACAGTAGAGAGAGCGGAATGAAAATCAACACCACAGGAAATTTGGCGAAAAGCCCTTCTATATCATGAAAATCATGATGCAGACATATAGTCCAGAAAAAAGCTATCAGACTGAATATTTAAAAAAATACTCTTTAGATTTTAAACATTAATCAAATAGCTCACAAAACATTTAAAAAAGGTATAAACATCCTCTGTATTAGAACCAAATTAGTGAAACTCCTAAAATTTTTATCTTCGTTTTTTTTTTTTTTTTTTTTAAATATTCCTCCAAAAATTTTTTAATTCTTTACAAAATAAAATACAATACAATAACAGTGAAAAGAACTGCACTATTCTAATTGTAAGCTTTGCAATTTAAACATTCATGGATTATCATTACACCAAAGTAGATTCAAGCAATGTGATGAAATTAATAAAATTATTTAAACTTGATTTTGGGAGGAGACATTTTGAAAAGTTATGATAAATTTTACGAATCGGCTGCATTTTAAGTTCCCAACATCTATTCAAATTATAATAAAATCAGCAATGACATATCACTTGCTCATCATTCTGGTAAAAAAGGTTGACACATTTTTTAACAAAAATTAAAGTATTACTTTTACAAATAAAAATATGAGTAACTTTGGTAATACTGATTCAGAAGTCAAACAACAAAAATCAGCATTATATTTTCAAATTTTCACGGGACTAGTTTCTATGGTTTTACTGAACTATCATCGAAACTAGTCTTGTGAAAATTTGTTCGCCGTGTTATTGTGTCTTAATTAACTTTGGTAAGTCGAGTGAATTTAAATTCATCAAACAATATTTCTTTATTTATATGTAAACATAGCAAATTTTATAACAAATATATGAAAAATTTACTGACACTGTTCAATAGCAAAAAATAAAAAGGAGAGGGGGGTGGAGAACTCCTACAGCAACACTTAACTGGAAAAGTTAAACAACAAGAATCAGCACTGATTCTTGTTGTTTAACTTCTTCAATAATCGTTATTCGGTGTGTTATTTTAACCTAAAGTATATTTAATTACTTGTAAAGAGAAAACCAATGTGGATTATCAGCCCTCAATTGTGACATCTTCTAGAAGATTTTCTGAAGAAAATCCTCCTTAATTTATATTATATTCATTCACCCCTTAAAAAAAAAAAAAAAAAAAAAAAAAAAAAAAAAAAAAAAAACATATGTTGATCTCTATAACATATGAAAATAATTAAAGTTTTACACTCATTTGCCTAAATGATGTCAGCAAAGATGAGATTTATTCCTATACCTGCAACAATGTAAAATGTCATCCCAGTTTGCTTAATTTTTATTTTAAGTAAGTTATTGTATTAAAACAATACTTTAAAATGCACTATGAGATGAATTTGATAGCAATTTGAATGGTGGGACATGTTTGAAAAGAGTTGCATTATAAGACTGCATGAAAAGCAGATGGTCATATTTCATGGTATTCTATGGGAAACTGGTCACACAATGTTACTGATAATACTGTTGACAATATTACGGGTTTTTGGTATAGGGTGTCTTGAACCATATCTTGTGTGGTAAGATAGATTTCATAAAATTCTTGATCCTTGCTGATCTTCATCAGAGGCATTTTGGTAAACTGAAGAAGTCCTTTGAACAATGCTTCCATTGTCTCAAAATGCTCACTCCAATGCTTTGTTGCAACAGAATAGTGCTTCTTCTCATACTATTGGCATTTGAAGCATTTGCATTTCATCTGTGGCCATTCTGCCTCATTGTCAGATCTGTCTTGAGTGAAAAACCTCTGCATGTTTTTGGCCATTCTATCAAGACTCCACTGTCACCACAACATCTGCAAAAGCAAAGAGTCTCATCTGCATGGGAACTAATGCAGAATTCAATGACTCCATGCCATAATTATCTACCTCTATGACTATATGCTGTTGGGAACCTCTATGGCTCCCCATTACAATGTGTGGGGAAAATGCATTCAAAACAATGGTAACACAATGTATTATTTAGTTATAATATTTTTGCAAGTTGTGCAATAAATATTTGTCATACTACTCTCATTTTTTAACCAGCTGGTAGTAGTGGTGGCAGTATGTTTGCAAATAACATTTTTATGTGACACTTGTAATTTTTTCAGATGCTAAGCATATATACAAAGTCTATGTGCATCCAGAAAATAAATTTCTCACACTGACATCAGATGGCAGGCCATGCATTACAAAAGATGAATAATGCAACGCCTGAGAGTTTGAAGTTAGGGCCATGATATGTAGCAGTTGCCATTTCTAAGTCTAGTATTGTAGTTATAGCAGTTTAAATTATGGGTCCTTTCTCTCCCCCATAAATGCAAGATTAAGTCTAATTTGATGTTTCAGAATGCACAGAAAGTAGCCCAGAGAAATATATATTGCCAGCTGGTTTGAGTCTATGGGTGCACAGATGATGATCCATTAATGTAGGGCAATTTTCAAAAGGTCATCAAGATGTTTATGATAAAGAGCAGATTGGATAGCAGTCTACCATCAATGATGACTTTGTGCAACAAGTGTGGCAGTGCATTCCAAAGCTTCCCAATTACAAAACTCAGTAGCCATTTTCTGCAGATATCTCATTCTTTGGTGCATAAAATTGTCACAATGCTACTCTTGTTCTGGAAATTGCATTCCGAGGGAGGCCAATAAGTCCGACTCCGAACACACAAGCAAAGGCATGAAAGCATGACATTTTGGAAGCAATAATATGATCCTGGTAACTAATTCCCAAACAGGATCATCACAGTGATTAAACATGGGTTGCTCACTCTGTCCCATAAACCAAACAGAAATAATTCATGCCTTGGCATCATGGTGTAATTCCATGCAGTTTAAACTGAAGCAGACTTTATCTGTGGGAAATGCATGCATAGAACCTTCTGCTTATTGATTTTCTGACCAGAGGTGAAATGGTAAATGTCAGCCATTACTATCAAACACTGTGAAGCTTTTGATTTTATTTACTTAAAGTACAGATGTACTGAAGATATATATATATATATAAATTAAAAATGTTTAAGATTACTAAAAAAGAAGATT